ACCCCAGGCACGGCCGTGGCCACAGCGTCGTGCGCACAGCCGGCCCTCGGCAGGCACTAAGTTCTCGCTGGATAAACTGCACCAGAAGCAAAGACCTCACTTACCCCCAAGTAACACTCCCAAAACGTCCCGACCAGGACCAAAGGGCACCCGATGAGCCCACACGGCCCTGCGAGGGTCCTGAGTGCATGTTTTTCTACTTGGAACGACTCAGAAAGGATAACATCGAACTGAACCACAGTGAGCCGTGAAATCTTTAATCATTCTGTTCCTTACTGGCCAATTAGATGCCGTTTTCTAAGAAAGCTACACCACCTTTATCCTCAAGCTCCTGTTCCTTCACGACACGGAAAGAACATGACTCCTGCTCGGTTCTGCCCGACCGAGGAGGGCACCGCAGATCTGTCTGACCGTGCGCTCAGACCCTGGGCAGCACAGAGCTCACAGCCACGCCTGGCCACACACCTGCTCCTGCAGCTGGGGCAGCGGTTCTGCAAACCTGGTCCGACCAGCAGCACATGACCACGGGGAACCCACTTAGTGACGCATTCATTGGTAACTTCTTGTTTTTTGTTGTTGTTTTTTAATATATTTTATTGATTTTTTTACAGAGAGGAAGAGAGAGAGAAAGAGAGTTAGAAACTTTGATGAGAAACATCGATCAGCTGCCTCCTGCACACTCCCCACTGGGGATGTGCCTGCAACGAAGGTACATGCCCTTGACCGGAATCGAACCTGGGACCTTTGAGTCCGCAGGTCGACGCTCTATCCACTGAGCCAAACCGGTCAGGGCTTTGGTAACTTCTTGTACGTGCCCTGACTGGGATTGAGCCCACAACCCTGGCGTATGCAGATGACACGCTCACCAACTGCGCTACCCGGCCAGGGCTGGGATGAAGTCTCTAAAGTCATTTAGTTTTTCAAAACGTTCACTAAGGCGTCGTCTCAGATAGGACTGCACATGACATGAACGTGTTAGTCTACGCACGTGTGTCCGGCTGGGGGGGGGGACCACGCGGGTGACCACGCTGTGACCTCCCAGGGAAGAGGAGGAAGACAGGTGGAGAGAAAGGACACAGGCTCTCACGGCGGGGGGCCCAGGGCAGGAACCGGGCCAGGGCTGGGCCTCGCAATGAAAAGGCTTCAGCACAGACCCTCGAGCGAGCAGCGAGGCCCAGATGAGGGTGAGGGAGCACCTGCCACAGGTCACTTCGCTCGCCGGCTCGGGCGCCCACTCCACACAGGGATGGACACTAGCCCAGCGGTTCTCAACCTGTGGGCCGCGACCCCTTTGGCGGTCGAACGACCCTTTCACAGGGGTCGCCTCAGACCACCCTGCACATCAGATATTTACATGACGATTCATCACAGTAGCAACATGACAGTGATGAAGTAGCAACGAAAATAATGTTATGGTTGGGTCCCAGCATGAGGAGCTGTATTTAAAGGGCCAGAAGGTTGAGAACCTCTGGTCTAGACCCTCATCCGCTCTGAGAAAAAGTGTTTCCTCTAAAATACAGAGACAGTAGTTACCTGTCCTTAGTCGGACACCATAGCCTTTAAAACAAGAGCCAGTCATTCCAAAGGTGACGCGGAGCCTGCTTCCCCTCCCCAGGCCCACGGCCTGGCCGGCTCCGCACGTGGGCAGGATGGTCACGGCCAGAGCGGGCGTTTCAGAGCCGGTGGCCCCTGCACAGGCTCTTCCCAGCGGTTTTCTCCAGATGCCCATGGGGCTCAGGCTCCACCACACGGGGTGAGGCTGGGCAACAGCCACTTCCTAAAACCAACTCGCCCCTCTTGCCCCAAACGCTGTAAGACACGCATCCCTCCACAGCAGAGAGGCCGGGCGCGGCCAGCCAGGAGCGGGCGAGCCTGCCCCTCTCCGAACGCAAAGGAGCCCCGGCGCGTGCTGGGGTGAGTGCCGGCCGGCCCACCCAGGGTCTCGGTTGATCCCAGTCGGGGCGCAGTGCAGAGGCAACCCATCCAGGTCTCTTCACACTGATGTTTCCCCCCTCCCCTTCCCTCCTGGATCAAAGTCAACGGGAAAACACCCTCCGGTGAGGACTGGCAAAGAAAAGGCCAAGGAAACACCTGAGTGGGCACCTAACTTCCTTATCTCCAAGGTCACCGAGGAACTGGTCTCAGTCCTGAGACGTGAGAACTCCGACTCACAGAACCTCAAGTGGAATCACCTGCAAAACAATTTTACTGACCACCAGAGCGGCGGGAGCCGGTTCAATCCCCAGTCGGGGCACATACCAAGGGTTCACCTTCAATCCCCGGTCGGGGCACATACCAGGGGTTCACCTTCAATCCCCGGTCGGGGCACATACCAGGGGTTCACCTTCAATCCCCGGTGGGGGCACATACCAGGGGTCCACCTTCAATCCCCGGTCGGGGCACATACACAAGGCAGCCGATTGCGTGCGCGCGCGCTCTCTCTGTCTGTCTCTCTCTCTCCTTCCCTCATACTCTCCCCCTCCCTCCCTCTCCCTTCCTCTATTTCTAAAATAAATAAAAAGCATGTCCTGAGCGAGGATTTTCTTTTTTAAAACTGAGTTGTGTTGAGGAGAGCAATAGAATAATAGGTTGAAGCATAAGAATGGACCAACATGAAAAGAAAAAGCTCAGTCAATCCCCGGTCGGGGCACATACCAGGGGTTCACCTTCAATCCCCGGTCGGGGCACATACTAGGGGTTCACCTTCAATCCCCGGTCGGGGCACATACCCCAGGGGTCCCTTCAATCCCCGGTCGGGGCACATACCAGGGGTCCACCTTCAATCCCCAGTCGGGGCACATACTAGGGGTTCACCTTCAATCCCCGGTGGGGGCACATACCAGGGGTTCACCTTCAATCCCCGGTCGGGGCACATACTAGGGGTCCACCTTCAATCCCAGTCGGGGCACATAGGAAAGGCCACCGATCGGTGCGTTTTCTCCCTCACATTGATGGTTCTCTCTCCAATCCTCTCTCAGCATGTCCTCAGGTGAGGATGAAAAAACAGAATAGGGTTTTACTGAGAATCAACCAGTGAGATGTACGTGCCATTTTGAAAGTGGGTTTCACGGAAGAGCTGACAAAACCGTGCTGCTGTGGGAAATGCGTCCAAACAGCAGCGCCCAGGCCAGGGACCCCGCAGAGACCCCACCGGCTCCCTCGTGGGCACAGGGCTCCTTCGCACCAAACTCCTCTGGCCACGAAAGTCATGGTTCAAAGGTTCCAAGACCCATGACCGAACCCTTTCAACACACGGAGCCTCGCGCTCTAAAGCCCTGACACGGCGATCCCTCTATTGAAACCGCCTTTCTCCCTCTGTTAGCACCCTAAAGCTTCACAGGCACAGCCGGCCTTCGATTCTACAAGACAGAGGCTGATTTCAGGATCTAAGTCGAGCTAATTCTTTAGAAGGTGGTCAGGTGCAGGCAGACAAGCCAATACGCACAGCGTAACCGTGCAGGCTCCTCGCCGTGAGGCCCTGACCACGGAACAAAGACGTCTGCGTTCCCGTGAGCCGTGAGCCACGGCCTCCGGCAGGACGCTGCACGGCGACTCTCCGCCTGGCTGGGAGGCCGGGACTCACGGGCCGGCGCCCGGGTCGGTGGGGGAGCAGACGGCGCGGAACAGGTGGGACATGGGGCGCGGAGATAGTTACCCAGGGTTCCTCAGCTCACTCTCTCGGGCACTTCCTCCCTTCAGCTTCCTAACCAGCTTCTCGCTGCTGCGTCTAATGGAGGCCCGCAGCTTGCTAAAGGAGCCGCTGCGCCTCAGCGATCCAGTGCCGTCCTGAAAGAGACGGGAACACAGTGAGGCCGGGGTCGCCGTCCCTGCCCCCGTCCCACCCAGGCACAGCCGAGGGACAAGAACCAGACCATGACCTGTCATTGGAGGGCATCACTCCCGGCCCACAGAAGTGACCACTCCCAGGGTGTCAGTAGACTTTAAACAGAAACTCCCCATTTTAAATGTAATTACAACGTATCTAATGACCATGAAAACTTTTGAACATGAAGAAGCTCAAACAAAATAACATTCCCACAGGAACTGAAACAAAAGATAACAAAGTCTTGGGGAAGGTCATGCGGCTTGAACTCCAATCCCGCAGTGAGCAGCAGGCCGGAGACACCAGCCCGAGACAACCTCCTTCAGACGCTGTCACAATGTAACACTTAGAAGTACTGTTTCCTCAATACGTTTTAAGTTTTATTCAACAGTTGATGATAAGTGTGGTTGGAAATTAAAGAAAACACTCATTCTATAGGAATAGCTGGACACTAGGACGTGTGGAGCAGCAAGGCCCGCTGCCGCCCTATCCACACAGACACTGCCCAGGACCCGCCGGGAGCGTGGGGACCACAGAGCAGGAGAGCGAGGGCACAGACTTTATTCCCGGAGGAACCGCAGCGGAAGGGCCAGCAGCCGCGCCCCCAGGACGCTACGCGAGGCTGTGTCCAGGGGAGGGGGACACACTCTGAGCAGACAGACACGGAGGCACAGTCAGTTGCAGTGAGTTTATTAGAAGTTAGAAAGACAGGTCACAGTCACCAACACAGATTAGTAGAGAGAAGCAGAACTGCCCGATTTCCACAGACCACACAGCGCTGCTACTGGGGCGGGAGCGGGGAGCCAGGCCCGGCAAGGGCGCCGTCTGAGGACCTGGGAGCACATGCCCTACTCACAGCCGAGCGAGTCAGCGGCCACGGCCACCGTCCACCACGGCAGTCACGCCTGCGGACACTTCTAACTACCTTCCAGCAAAGTGACAGCTAATGGCTCTGACGTTTTAAGCTCATACGTTACACAGTACGTGGTTTTTATTGATACAGTTTATATTACTAAGTACATATCCAGCAAAGCTACGTGTATACAGAGAGAGGGACCCCCCAAAGGACAGCAGCACCGAGAGGAATGCCCGTCACAAGGTGGAGCGCGGACAAGAATCCTAGGGTCGCTAACAGCCGCGGCAGCGGGGGAGCTGGAGGTGCCGCCCGTCATGCAGGAGACAGAGTCACAAGGCAGCTAGGCCTGTCAGACAGAAACGAGAGAGAGCAGGTGAAACTCGGGAGGAGGCCCGCCCGCGCGCCGCCCGCCGGCTCACAGTATTTCTAGGTCACAGAGCGGGCACTGGGGGCTTCGGACTACCTGCGGCCCCGTGTGAGCAGGGCTGAGCCTGACGTCCGTGCACGGGGGAAGCCAGTGCTCCCAAGGCCTGGGTGCGCCCTGGCCAGGACCTCCCTGACACTTGCTATAAAAATAAAAAGGCGCCACCGAGCGGTCAGGAAGGAGGCTCCGCAGGGGCAACACCGAGCGGCCAAGAGAGGCTGCGGAGGCCGTGGCGCTCTGCTCCCTGGAACCCTCTCCTGTGCTGTGAGCTCCCCCGAGGGAGGGCGGGCCTTCTCTGAAGAACACGAACCCCGCAGAGGCTTGAGGTCTGCGGCACCTTCTGAACATGCACTGACACCCCCAGGACAGTACTCTCTAGAATCAGTTCCCAGGGCAGCAGCCATCCTGGGCCTGCGGAGAGACCTGGCCGCCTGGCACCGAAGCCCCAGCCGTTCTGACTCACCATGGGACGCTGAGCAAGTCATTTAACCAGCCCGAGCTTCATTTTTCTGATCTTTAAAATGGAAAATAAAACTTGTTACCGACTCCCCGTGACGCCGGGAGGACAAGAAAACATTAGCCCTTGCTGCTCTTCAGCAGAAGGTGGGAAAATGTAATGTAACTCCATCAACAGCACATCCACCTCACATCCAAGCTCAGTGCTGGACCCCCGGCAGAGGGGAGACCTCCCCCCGGACTCTCAGCCCTCCCCTCACTGCCCTGCCCCTCCCCTCCATCCTGGCCACAGGCTGGCACTGGGCTGGGGAAGCATGGTGCCCTGGGGCTGGGGCTGGGCAGTGGTCTGCCCACCACTTGCTCTCACCCCCTTACACCCTGTGAGAACCAGCTGGGCTTCAGGAGCATGCATCAGATGTATGTATGTGAAGAGATTAGCCCATGGACGTAGATGCATACACACATGGTTCATGGGCAGACAATGGTGCGGGAAGGGTGGGGGAGGGAAAGGGCACGTGTAATACTTTCAACAATAAAGACACGTTTCTTTAAAAGGGCTGGGCGGTGGGCCCCTGCACCTGCCGCTGGAACAGCTCCTGCTCCGTGGCAGGCCCAGCACCTCCACAGCGGGAGCTCTGCCCACTGGCTAGCACAGCTGGGATCCCTGTAAGGGTTTCAGGTGACTTAATGTCCTTCAATTTTTAAAAGTATATTCCACACAAATCCTTTATAATAAAAGGCTAATATGCAAATTGACCAAATGACGGAACGACTGGTCGCTATGACATGCACTGACCGCCAAGGGGCAGACGCTCAGCACAGGAGCTGCCCCCGGTTGTCAGTGTGCTCCCACAAGGGGAGCCCACTCAGCCAGTAGCCAGGCTCATGGCTGGCGAGCACAGCGGTGGTGGCGGGAGCAGGCCTAAGCCATCAGTCGGACATCCCCCGAGGGCTGGACTACAAGAGGGTGCAGGCTGGGCTGAGGGAATCACCCCTCCCTCCCCCAGTGCACAAGTTTCATGCACCGGGCCTCTAGTTTTAAAATGAATATTAATCTCTTTTAAAAAATATATTGATTGGTTGATTTTAGAGAGAGGAAGGAAGAGAGGGAGAGAGAGAGAAACATCGATCTATTGCTCCACTTGTTTATGCATTCACTGGTTGCTTTTTGTATGTGCCCTGACTGGGAATCGAACCTGCAACCTGGGTGTATTGGGACAATGCTCTAACCAACTGAGCTACCGACCAGGGCTAATCTATTTCTAGGTCACAGTGTACCCAATTCCCCAGTAACCCTGGGTCAGAGCGTACTGTACTGAAGCTTTCAGAAACACCATGCGGGAGCAGTGCGGGAAGAGAGGGGGCTGCTCCTGAAGGACCGGCAGAGAACTGGCCCCGCCAACAGCAGGGACAGCGCGGAGGGAAGGCTGACGTGGGGCCTCCGCCACCAGGCCTGGGGCTCCCAGTGGCCGGACACACACGTGCCTATCAGCCAACACGAGACCACATGAACAGGGGCCAAGGGAGTCCAATTTCACCCCTCAAGGTTCCTTTGCAGCCACATCTGTGTGCTTAGCAGGACCATCAAGGAGGACGCCCTCAGAGGTGCCCTGACAGGGACCTCCGTTCAGCCCGGCACTTGCAGAGGAGAGGGGGAGCAGCTGCCCCTCACAGACCGACCGGGATGGCTCCAGGCCTGCTGGGGAGTCCAGGTCCCCTAGGGCCAAGCCCCTCCCCAACCCTCACATGGGGTCCTGGCTGAGGCCAGTCCTTCCTGCTCTCGTCTCTAACAGCCTGTGCCCAGCTCTGTGCTGGCCCAGATGCCCAGTACCCCCAGGCAGGGCCCTGACCTGACTCGCTGCCCTATTCTAAGGCTGTTTCTGGCGCTAAGGGCGACCCTGCCTGTCGATGGAATTGGCTGCAACTGGAGGAGCTGTGGCCGCTCCTGGACCTGCACACAGCACTCGCTCTGCCCTGTGGGGCGGCTGCAGAGAGCACTGACATTCTTCTTAAACTAGAATCTAATGAGAAGCCTGATGTAATGAAGCCTCGATGGCACTTCCTCACCGGGCCTGGGTCACAGTCCTCAGCACGACTGAGTCGAGCAGAGAACAGGCCAGGCCTGTCGGAGCCACAGGGGGTGGTTCTCACCGTGGCCGGGCCCCCCGCCCGCAGGCAGCGTGAGCTGCCATTCTCCCTGCAGGACGGAGCATGGCTGCAGGTGACCATCACATCACACGTGACCTCAGGACGGGCTCCTTTGGTTGCGAGCAATTACACCTCAACACAGCTGACCTCAAACCTCTGCGTGTGCCTGCTGCCTTACTGACGCCTCTCAACAGAAGTGTCTCTACAAATAACACCTGTCACCTAACCCCAGCATGCCAAACTCACCGCCGCCGGGCCGCATGCTTGCTAACTGGTTTGGCTCAGTGCATAGAGCCTCAGGCTGAGGACTGAAGGGTCCCGGGTTCGATTCTGGTCAAGGGCATGTACTTGGTTTTGGGCTCCAACCCCAGTAGGGGCTGGTGCAAGAAGCAGCTGATTGATGTTTTAACTCACTATCCCTCTCCCTTCCTCTCTGTAAAAAATCAATAAAAAGAAATAAACTTGTCAAATTTTGGGAGAGCTCAGCATTCCCTCCTTGGAACCTTAGAGCTTTGAGGAAGCCAGCCTGGGAGCCGAGGCCGTCCCGTGAGGCAACAGGCCGAGTCTAAGTGGTGGCCTCGGTGACCAGCGGTGAGCCCAGCCGCCACGGCCGCCTCGTTAAGCTGGGCGGTCACTTCCCCTCTGCTGCTTTACCTACTCTCCACTCGGGGAGGGGGCTCCTGCGCTGCCCCGGGCACTAAGACCCAGGCTCCTCCGGTCAGGCCCGGCCTCTCTGCACGTGCCCGGGACGGGCTGTCAGAGATGCAGAGCCACCAGGGCCAGAAAGTCCACCATGAAGGTGTCCGAGCCCCAGGAGTGAGCACCCCCAGGGACAGTGCATGCCTAGTGAGGAGGGAAACGTGAAACGGGGCGTGCACGGGTGAAGGCAGCCCTCCCCCGAGTCTTGGCCTTGAAGACGGTCAGCAACAGCTGTGTCATCACGATGTCAGACAGGCTGACCTAGAAATACTGTCTCAGGAGACACTCCCGCCGAAAGTCAAGAGCATTAGCACCTGCATGGGGGCGGGGCCGACTAGCAAAGGGCCTGCCCTCAGACGCATGCGGAGGAGAGCAGAGAGCACCAGGAGGGGGGCACACAGCAGGCCTGAGGGCAAGCAGGGACTGCGCCCACGGGCGTGAGTGATCACAGCAGATGCTGATTGGTTGTCCTGGCACAGAAAAAAACCAAAGCCAGGAAGCTGCGGACAGACGGCCCAGATGTTCTCCCTGTAATTTTGGCCAATGACAATCTGTACGGAACATCTCAAAGACTCACCTTTACCAAAGTGCCGCAGCTACAGGAAATCCCAAAGGATAACACAGATTTAAAAACACAGAAGAAAAAGCCAAAACTACGCGGCAAAACATCTACGGTGACAGCTGAGGGTGCACGACTGCGGCTTTGAAAAATCAGCGCACCTGGGCGGCAAGGCTCACCTGCAGCCACTCCTCCCGATACAGCGAACCCCAAGCTGCCAGCTCTGACTCCCTGACGGCTCCCTGCACCGGCCCCACCCACGGGCAGAGCCACCAGGGGCTGACATGTCTCAAACACAGGCCCGGGTTCTGGACCCGAAAAACTGTGGCAGGGAGTCGTGAAGGGCGATGGACCGACCCCTGTAGAACTGGCGCTCAGGACCACGGTGGGACATGAAGCGCGGCCACCGAACCTTCCTGCCCTTGCCCTGCCCCTTAACTAGACAAGTTCTGCCGGGAACATCAGCCCGTCCAAGGCCTGTACAGTAATTCCCACCAGGCCTACGGCGGCCGGGCCGTAAATGAGGGGCGCTGGAGTTAGCGGGGAAGAGGTAAGTTAACAAGAGAGTTAGTCATCTGCACGCTTCCTAGGATTAAAGTAAAACTGGATTATGGACTTGCTTTAAACGACCAGGACACTCAATCAGCATTTAGGTGCTGGAAGTTAGGCCAACAGCTTTCCTGGAGAGAAAACGGTCACTTCCAGGAGGCACAGCTCAGGGTTAGCGGAGACAGGACTTACAGAAGCGGAGCTGCGGCTGGAGCGGAGGGAAGCAGAGTCTACAGGAGAAGGGCTGCGGGGGCGGGGCCGCGCGCTGTACTTACCCCGCTCCACTCTACGCCCATACTCACTTCCTCCCCTCCGTCAGGACCACTCTCGTACTTGACCGTGTCCACGGTCAGGCTCTCCCGGCTCCGGCGCTTCTCCGAGCCCTCGGGGTCGCCCAGCACCTCGGCCACTCTCTGTTTGTGAACATTGTCAAGACCCTGCGAGTCAGGCGGGAGGGTTCACCTGTTAGCACGTAAGCTGATTAGGGTTTTCCAAACATAGACGTCCCAGAAAACACAGGCTCTGAACCACAGGGAGTGACCACCGTGTCCTGGGGACGTGCCCTGCAGGGGTGCCTTCCCTGAGCCCGTTCACCTCCCATCAAGTCACAGGCCGAGCCAGCGAGTGGCGCTGGCTGGGGTCCGGCAGGAAGGCCCTGGTGCAATCACTGGGACGGCTTCCCAACGGCCCGATGGTGGGCGGGGCGGGGAGGCACGGGCAGCACGCCCAGGGACAAGGCGGTGATGGTCCCGGCTGGGCCCTCCCAGTGCTCCTGTTTGGAAGTGTGGTGGTGGGATGGGAATGCCGTGTCTAGCGTCCCCACTAACTCCCTGGCGTGCACGCCTCCCAGGCAGCACCTGCTGGATACTCATGGATGACTGTGTTCTCAGTGTGACACCGAAGACCAGCCATTAACTACAAAGGCACGTCCAGCACAGACGCTCCATCTGCGAAGTGCTGAGCAGCAGGCACTCCTGCTCCTTCAGGCCACTTCACACATCTGTAATAGCATGTGGCGGATGAACACACAACAGCGCTTCCTGTGCGCGTCAGGGCCCAATGACTGCGGGCAACATGCCTCTAGTTCCGCATGGGTTCACCCAGCGGCTCGTGGAGTGCTCTCCTGTGCCGATGGGCCCTCCTCCTCGAGAGGCCCGGCCCAACCACAGCCACTACACGTGCTCCTCACCCAGGAAACTGGCCTCCGTGCCCTGCACTTCCGTGCAAGTTGTGTGTCACTACTCTCGGCTGGTGAAGGACAGCGCCTCAGTCCTCCTACCTCTTTACTGCCAAGAACCTCGTGTGACACCCCCGTGGACGTGGTGTGCCTAGGCCTGGACGACGGCACAGTCCAGCGGCATGAGAGGCCCCACTGTGCACTTGTGCGCTCACCCGCGTGCCAGAACTCCCCCGTAACCCCAAACCCACACCCCAGTGCTCTCGCAGGCACCTGCCACCCAGTGTGCACGGCCCGCCAGGCGCCAAGGTGACACTCCTTGCGCTGTGGACAGTGCCCTGCTCCGTCCGTTACTCAGTCCACATTCTCCGCACTTTGTCCATTTGCTGGACGCTCGCAGCCTGAACAGCCCCGCCCCGCTGCGGCGCGCCCAGGGTCCCTAGGTGCACGAGGCGGGTGTGCCGCACACAGACGGAGCGACGCCTGTGCAGGGGGGCCTCCCGCGGGCCTGAGCCAGTGCTGGGCCCTGAGCTGGTGCTAACGGGGCAGCGGCCGCCAGCGCGGCCAGAGGCTCACAGGAGCCACCGCTGCGTCCTCCCCGGAGGCCCCGCTGCTTCACGCCCACAGCCCCTCCCCGCCCCGGAGCGGACCTACCGACAAGGACCTGCGGCACCTGGCCCGGCACCTGGGCCGCGGGCCTGCGCTCAGCTGCCGTGTGCGCCGAGGAGGGGGTTCTGGCTCACACGGTGGTTTCTGTGTGGCGGCCCGTCACGGCCCAGCAGCACACGCGGTGCCAGTTACTGTCTTCCCGTTCCGTTCATCGCAGCCACCCCGCTGGGTGTGAAGTCGTGCGTGTGGCTTTAAAGTACGTTCCCTACCGACTACAGACGGGCACCTTCACGGGCGTGCAGGCCCAGCAGGTGCTCTGCGCCCCATGCCCCATGGCCTTGTCTTCACACGCCCTGGGCACTAGACCCACCAGACACGTGTGCACACGCTGTCCCTGCTCTGGGCGCCCATTCCAATTCTGGAGGACTGGATCGACCGGGGTTCTCTTCTGCTACTCGTGTTTCTGGGTCAGACGTACAGTATTTAAACAGTATCATCTTATTTGTAAAATTAATATACTACGAACTTTCTATCTCTAAGTCAAGATCTCAGTAAGGCGCGTTAGAGGGAGGGGCTGACCGACCTGCTTGCGTGACCGCATGGCGGCTTCCTCCAGGGTCTCTGCAGCTTCGAACTTGCCCTGGCGCCTGTAGAGCGCCCCGAGGTTCTTTAACGTCGTGGTGACGGTCGGGCTGGAAGGGAGCACACGTGCTGAGCTGTTAACGTGCTTCCGAGCGGCCGCGGCCGCCAGCGCAGGATCTGAGGACTGGTGTTGGTGAGAAATAGCTCTCGGGCGCCATGGCCCGTTTCCCAGGCAAGGGGACCAGCAGCTCTTCTCCCTCCAGCTCCCGCCTCCCAGAGCTGCCCGGCGGCTCGGACCTTGGCCACCGCCACAGAGTCTGCTCGGGCCATCTGGGCCACACACTTCACGGCAGCGAGCGCATCGTCAGGCAGTGAGAGGGCGCGGAGGGAGGCAGGGGGAGCCACCCCTCACGCCCCAGGATGAGCGCTGTGTGACGGGGCAGAGCCACAGGGACTGTGCTCGGCACTGTGCCCAGCAGCCTCCCAGGCCCAGCCACGGCCGTCCATTTGGTGCGATGGCCCGTCAGGGGACGCATGAAGCAGCTGCGCCCGTGTTGGAGAGCCCCCCGCCCCCAGCACACCTGTCCATGCCACGGGGAACCGGGCCAGGGGGCAGAGACTTCCCGAACTAGACGACTGGGAAACTGAGTCTCGGAGGAGTTAGCGAGCAGACGGGAGAGCGGGAGGGGTTCCAGTCAGAGGAGGCAGGCCGGAGGCCTGGTGTGGGAGGCTCAGGCACCGGCTCACAGGGCCATGCGGGCGCTCACACTGCCCTCTGCGGACACGGAGGCCAAGGCAGCAAGGAGAGGGGGTCATGGCTTAGGGTCTCCGAGACGAGACGTCCCTGCAGGGGTTTGTGAGTGCTGGCTCCTGCAGGGCTGCTGGCCCCTGCTCTGCGGCCGCCTTCCTGTGTCCCCTGGGCCCTCTCCTGCTGCCATGTGGTCGGCAGCCTTGGACACAGCAGCGTGAGTGCAGAGCCGTGTTTTACCCGGATGGCGGGGCCCCACACCCGTGAGAATGCTGCCCACTCGTGACCCCGGCCAACGGCTCGTTCAGGCCCAGCAGCCCCGTCCACAGCTGTCGTTTGCGGGGAAGCAAACACACCTGTCCACCTTGCAGGCCTTGTACCAGCCGCCGTACTCTCCGAACGCGGGCCCGTCCTTCTGCTTTCCCTGCGGGAGAGGAGGAGGTGAGTGCAGCCCCGCAGCACCGAGCCCGCGGCCCTGGGGCGGAACTCACTTTGCACTCCTCTCTCTCCTCCGCGTGCATCCAGATGGGCTTGTTCTCGTCTGAGGGAGAAAAACAACACAGTCAGCGGAGGCTGACCGAGCCCCATGAGAAGGGGCCACGTTCCAGGGACTGCAAGGCTCCTGCTGTTCTAGGGTCCTGCTTAGGGGCGACTTCTCCCGCGTGGACGGGCGCCGTTCCTACGAGGACAGGACCACACGCGCTCGCAGGGGGTGGCCGGCTCGGGCGGCGCGGGGGACAGAAGGTGCGGGAGGAAACGTACCAGACCTGGGGGTGTCAGCAAACCTGACTCCCATGAGGGTTCCCATCATGAAACTTTTCTTTTTTTTATATATTTTTTATTGATTTCAGACAGGGAGAGAAAGACTCACTGATTGGCTGCCTCCTGACCGCCCCTCACTGGGGATTGAGCCCACAATCTGGGCCTGTGCCCTTGACCGGAACTGAACCCAGGACCCTTCAGTCCGCAGGCTGATGCTCTACCCACTGAGCCACACCAGCGAGGGCCATCAGGAAACTTTTAACGCTGGAATCTGCACACAGCCCTCGGAGTTTTAAATGTGAGCAACCTCGCCGTGAACAAGAGTCCGACAACGAGCAGCACCCGTCCTCCTTCCAAACATCAGTGAACGCCTAGCGAAGGGACACAAGGGCCCCGTGTCCCCGTGGCCTCCTGAGCCACTGGAACCCCGACAGCTTTCCCTCCAGAACTGGGCCCCGAGCACCTCCGATGCCGAGGGTGTGACGGCCAGGCCTGGGCCGGTGGAGAGTGTGCACTTTGGCAGGTCCCCGCCAGCATGGTAAGAACATTCTAGAAAGCATGAATGGCTCCAGGGAGGTTTTCTAGAGTTGGTGCCTCTGGGCTGTGCCTGAAACAGGCATGGACTCTGGAGAGGACAGCGTGAAAAGCGGAGGCAGGTGGCCATCACCCCACGGAGTGAGAGATGCCGGTGAGCACGCGTGTCCCCCGTGTCACTGGAGATGAACAAACGTGCCACGAGCACCCAGCTGTGCCCGCCCCTCCTCTGAGGCGGTCTGGAAAGTCATTTCTAACACTCAGGTCAGCTGCATCTTGAAACTGCAGTGACGACGGGCGTGTACAACTGGGGGCTGGCACCGGGACTGCCAGGCAGCTGCAGCAGCATCTGCTCAGAAACGAGGGCACCCTTACCGTCCACAGAACCGAACTCCCGCTCATGCGCACGCGTGAGGATCTCTTTGTACAGGGTCTCCGCTTGCTTGAACTTCCCTTGCTTCAGGTAGCAGGAGGCCTTGAAAGGAGACGAGGTGCTTAGCGTCCTCCCGCGCGAATGAGCGCGCTCCTCGGGACAGTTCCACCAGGAAGCGCCCGCTCCCCGCGGCCCTGCCCACCTACCAGGTTGTTCTTGGTCTTGGCCACGTTGGGGTCGTCGGGCCCCAGCTTGGTCTGGTAGATCTCAAGGGCCCGCTGGTAGTAATACTCCACCTCCTCGTACTTGCCCTGGTTCTGGCACAGCAGGGCCAAGTTATTCAGCTGCTTGGCCACGTCCGGGTGGTCCTTCCCCAAAACCTGAGAACAAAGCACGGAGTCGGCACCTCCGCCTGCCTCACCACCGGCCAGTCCGCTCCCCACGTGAGCTCTTCCCAAGCGTCCGCCCGGAGGCCGCCCCTGCAGGCTGCGGAGCTGTGCGGCTCCGTGCCCTGTGATGGAAGTGACACAGCCAGAACGTGGGGGGCTCTCCTGGCGGGCGGGGGAGAGGCTGGTTCCCTTTACATGCTTTAGCTTTCTTAAATCTTACAACGACACTATGTGGTGGGAACGTCATGCACATTTTGAGGAGGAAACTGGCTTTTCTAAAGCCAATGCTACTATGACTGCCAAGTCCTGGAACAGCCCAAACTTAGCCAGCCCTGTCTGATGCCTTCCTGTGCAACCAACCTCCAAAGGAACTCCCAGTCTCCGGCCCAATCCCGCCCAGCCAGCCCACCTTCACGTGCAATCACCCCAACCACTCAACCATTTCCCTCACATTTCCACCCCCACCAGCAGGACCTCCCCTGCCTCCACCTCTCCTAGATGCTGACACTCCCCCCCTACCAGCTCTCCAGGCCCCGTGGATGGGACCCCTTCCATCCAATTTAAGGAGACCTCAGCCCGGCCCACCAGTTAGCTCAGAAGCACATCACCTCGTTTTCTCTCTTTGCAAGTATCACTACCTGAAGCTGCCTTATTTATCCAGCTAATCTTCTATTACAGCTCTCACCCACTAAAGTGCAGGCCCCAGGAATGCAAGTTCTTCCCAATGCAGGCCCTGCTGGAGGAGTCACACTGGAGCCTCCCCCTAGGCGTCCCCAGGAGGCACGCGGCCTCATCCTCCCTTCCCACACTCCTTTGTCTCCCTGCCGGCTCTCTGCACTCAGTTACTGAAGGCTCAGCTCCAACACCCCCATGCCCCCAGGCCCTGGAGGAGCCCCCCCTCTCCCCCCACTCTAGATGCTCTGGCTCTGACCTAGAGGCCAGAGAACAGAACCCAACATTCCCAAGTTCAGTCTCGTGGCCTGTGCTCTGGGGAAGGAGCTGTGCTTCTGATCTGTGAAGTCCCCCACTCCCACCAGCAGAGGCCCCGCCCTCCATGAGCATTTCCCGGTGCCTGACTGAAAGGGCAGCATGTGTGAGCGGATCTGGCGAGGCACCTCCGCAGCCTGCAATGCCGCGTCCTGCCCTGTGGCCTCCCGGTTCCAACCCGGCCTGCAAAGCGGGGCCTGTTGTTGACAGACAGGCAGGCGGCAGGATGACGTCTCACTGGGGACGTGAGGACGAGCAGCTCGTTTCCCCTTCCCCAGGAAGCAACCACAGAAGCACCTGCTAAGCGTCCCGGGCCATCCCGGCTCAGCTGGCCCGCGTCTCTAACCCTGAGCACAGTCCGCTGAGCTGAGCGGCCGAAAGCACAAGCTACACCCTTCAGTGCCATTAGCATAAACGCAGCAGCAGGCAGGCTCCACTGACTTAATCTACAGCTGAGTCCATCCTTAGGTCTGGAAGCACGTTCCCTTTTTAAAGCTGCAGAAGCCTATTTGGTGGCTACGCTCCCGCGGGCAGGCACATGCTCGCTGCCGAGGGAACGGCCAGTCCCGAGCAAGCCCTCCCTCAGCAGCCACTCCGGGCCCCGCCCTGCACCCCGACGGCAGGGCCAGCTGCGTCGCTGAGGGTGGCCCACCTTGTGGAACGAGTTACTTCTCGTAAACCCTCAGTGCCCACCTACAGTGGTCCTCTGTCAAAAGGTGAACTGGACGTCCTCTAAAAGCCCCCAACTCACACCTGAAACCTACGTGACCCTGTTAACAAGGCCGCCCCAACACAGTGCAAAGTAAAAGTGCGATAAATGCGTAAGCCAAGCGCACGCGGCCGCACCTTTTCCCGGATCTCCAGGGCTCTCTTACACAGCGGCTCCGCCTCCTTGTACTTCCCTCTCTTGCCGTAAAGCACCGCGAGGTTGTTCAGAGTCGCTGCCACCTGCAACGGGGCGGCGAGAGGGTGAGCACGGCCGGCGCTCAGGGCGGTCAGGGGCCGAGTTCCACCAAAGCGAGAAGCAGTTCACCGGACAGAGATCACAGAGCAGCACCACAGGTGCTGGGATTACAATCAGCATCGTGGGACGTTGATTTTTAATAATCTCACTGGGATCACACAGCCCACCACAGGCCTGTGTGCCCACGGGAGCGGACTTTAGCAAAGGACCCAGCTCTGCAGGAGAGAATTTCACAAGACATGCGATTCGATTCAGGATCAAGAACTACAGCGCGTGCTCCATTTGGGAGGGACAAGGCGTGCTGGCCTTGCTGGTGCCAGTCTCGGCGGGAGCCGGCAGGAGGCGGCGGGAGGGCCTACCTGTGCCATCTAGCGGAAGGCAGCGCTTACCTTCCCTGTGGGTTCAATAGGAAAATGCGTCGGTGAAAGCCTTAGGGAAACCGAGCATCTACACGGAGTGATAATCAGGCCCACTCACCGCGGGGTGGTCTTTGCCCAGAGTCTTCTCAGGTCTCTGGAATGAAGCACCGGAGTATTCTGTCTGCCCGCAGGCCCGGCGTCACCCCGCCCTTCCCGGCCCTCTGAGCGGGGACTGTCACCACCCCATTTGCGAGATGAGGAGCGGAGGCTCCGGGAAGCTAAGGCTCTGGACGCCCTCCTCCGTCCGGGGCCGTGTAGCAGAGCGGGAAGCTGAACTCCCGAGAACAGAGCTACGTGTTCAGCCCGAGGGCCTCACAGCCAGCCCAAAGGCTCACATACACTTGGATCTGAAAAACTGTTTGTTGAGCCCGGCCTGTGTGGCTCAGTGGTTGAGCGTTGACCCAGGAACCAGGTCTCCGGTTCGATTCCCGGTCAGGGGCACGTGCCCAGTTTGCGGGCTCAATCCCCAGTAGGGGGCATGCAAGAGGCAGCCAATCGGTAATTCTCTCTCATCATGGATGTTTCTATCCCTCTCTCACTCTCTGCCCCTCTCTCTGAAATCATTAAAGAAAAAGGTTTGTTGAACTGGAACCAAACTGCTGGAGAAATGAAGGACAGGGGAAGTACTAGCCTGTACACCAAGGCCAGGATGTTGAGCATGGTGGCCACGTCTGGGTGGTCGTGGCCGGAGGTCTTCTCCAGGTCTTCCAGGGCCTGCTTGCACAGGGGCACAGCCACCTCGTAGCGCCCCTGGGAGGCGTACTGGATGACCAGGTTGTGCAGGGTGCGCAGGCGCGCTGGGATCTCATAGCCGCCCTGCTGCGCGGCTGCCGCGGCGCTGCTGTGCTGCTGCTGGACTGCAGAGAGGGTCCGCGTCAGTGGCACAGTGTCCCCAGGCATCCTGGTTAAACTCCCCTCTAGCCTGGGCCCCGTTTCGGCACGTGGCTTCCTCACCACGGAAACCTGGCATGCACCCCCTGGGCAGGCTGGTAACCGCAGCACCCTCCCGGGTGACACAATCCCCAAGACACACACACACACACACACCCCGCAACGAGATGCCCAGGCAGACAGCCCTGCCTTTCCCACTCCGAACAGGCCGAGGGGCTGGCCTAACGCCGCTGCATCCCAACACGAAAACTCTGAACTCTGGGGAAACGCGGGTCCGAGTGTGCACATGCTCTTGCGAGGCGCTGTGCCATCCAGACGCCCGCGAGTCACCGCAACCGCGTCCCACGCACAGACCACCCCCCTCTGCTGCAGCGGCATCCACCCGCCCGCGTACTTCCTTGACCGGGGTCGTCGTCGTCGTTCGGGAAAAGGTCGTCCAGAGGTTCTTTGGTGGAATCGGTGTCTTTGTCCTCCTGGAAACCAACCAGAACTATCTTAGCTTGCAAGGGCTACAAAACCTCTGCTATAACCTTTTTAATTAAAAAACCTTAGAGCCTGGCCAGCGTGGCTCAGTGGTTGAGCATCGACCTATGAACCAGGAGGTCACAGTCTGATTCCTGGTCAGGGCACATGACCGGGTTGCAGGCTCCATTCCCAGTGTGGGGCGTGCAGGAGGCAGCCGATCCATGATTCTCATCATTGATGTCTCTATCTCTCTCTCCCTCTCCGTTCTTTTCTTAAATCAATAAAAATATATATTTTTTAAAAACCTTAGAAAAGATGGTCCATTTTTAAGATCAAACACAGGATTATCCACAATCTGCCTGGGTTCTGAAGAAGTTCAAACAGAGCAGGGAAACTCTCACTGGAAATAAACCCACTCGAAAACCACACACGTGAAAATGTGAAGCACCGCATGGCTGCACGCGCAGACCTGGTAGAGTCCACGCAGGCCTGGGGCACTGGGCTGCCTCCAGCTGCGTATGACTCGGTGTGAGGGAGGCCCTCGTGGTGGGATTCCTGCCCTATTAAGGCGAGACACCAGAGCGTGTTCTCTCTCGCCCCCACCCGACTCCGTGAGGACCCAGAGAGCAGGTCACCGTCTGCAAGCCAGGAAGAGAGTCCTTACCAGACACTAGCCCTGCAGGTGCCTGGTCTCGGGCTCCAGCCACCAGGACGGGAGAAGTGTCTGTGGTCCGAGCCACCCCGTCGGTGGTATTTTGTGTGGCAGCCCAAGCTGACACAGGGTAATGTCTGTTTGCTTAGGACGAGGGTTCGGACAGAAGACACACGTGTGGGACGCACTGATCACAGATTATGTAGTGAACAGGCCCAGCACCAGGCGGGCAATGAAAAATGGAGCTCAAAAAAGTAACAAATAATGAAATAAAATAAAAGTGGGCACTCAAATGCAGGGCAGACTCAGGATGGGCCTGGGCAGGAAGGGCGGACTGGGACAGGGAACATGGGCTGCGTGCAAGGAAGAACCTGCAGCCGGCGTGTCTCAACTTTGCCCCCTGAACTGCGGCCGAGGTCTGTTTCTTTAACCCACGAGCCTGCAGCACTGCTACAGCAGCTGCGTTCACTGCGACATGCACTGCAGGGATGTGAGGCGTGACCTAGGGAAGCTGGTAAGGGCAGTGGGGATGCTTTCCTATCTTCTCACCTCTGGTGTGAATCTAACATTTAAAAGATGTTGTTTTTAAGTTAACTGAACAGAAATCCTGGATAAAAAATAGTCAAGACTGGGATCAGCATCCAAAGACAGAAAAGGGGGGAACTGAGATCCTTGGAGCCGTAACATTCCAGAGCCGCAGGTGAGCTCGCAGGGCCTCGAGGGAGGGGGAGAAGGCTGCAGAGAGCCGGTGTCCTGGGGCGGGCAGGCTCCGCAGAGAAAGGCAGGCCCACGGCACCACCCGCCACAGTCAGCCCCGACTCTGGGTCAGGATTGGACGGTGGCTGTGGACCTAGAGAGCCCAGCGCCTGACAGGCATGGACGCCAGACCGCAGTGGGTCAGGGCGCCAGAGCCCAGCTGAGCAGACCCGTCACAGGTAATGCTGCCTCTCTGCCGTGGACCTCATAGTTACCGTATTTTACATTTTCTAAAAAACACACAAGAAAAGAATATGGCAAAGAGAACTTCTATGGCCCTGGCCGGGTGGTCCAGTGGTTGGAGCATCATCCCTTGCACTGAAGGGTCAGGGTCGTGGGTTTGATTCCTGGTTAAGGCACATGCCCAGGCTGTGGGTTCACTCCCCAGTCGGGGCGCACATGTGAGGCAAAAGATCAATCTCTCTCTCTCCCTCTCTCCCTTCTTCACTCACCCCAGAATCAATGAAAAACATCCTTGGGTGAGAATTAAAAGAAAAGGCCCTGGCCAGTGTGGCTGTTGGTTAGCTGTCGCCCGTGCACCAAAGGGTTGCTGGTTCGATTCCTGGTCAGGGCGCATGCCCAGGGTGCGGGCTGGATCCCTGGTGAGGGGCGTGTGGGAAGTGGCTGAACAATGTTTTGCTCTCACATCAATGTTTCTCTCTCTCTCTCCCTTCCTCTCTCTCTCAAAAAAACCCACAAAACCTAAAGAGAAGTTCAATAACAAAATTAAAAATTTTAAAAAAGGGAATGTCTGTGACTTGCCCAGGGACTCAGTCCCAGGACCGCAACCCGCGATCTTGCTCAGTGCGTCCCTGGAGGGGAGACCCTGGCCCCGGTGCGGAGCCCCTCCCACTGCCCGCGGGACGGCCACCCCCACAGAACCACTCACGGACAGAGAGATGTCCCCGCGCCCCCACAGAACCACTCACGGACGGAGAGGTGTCCCCGCGCCCCCACAGAACCACTCACGGACGGGGAGGCGTCGTCGTCGTATCTCTTCAGCTGGTTCATGAACTCCAGGTGCCGCTTCTCCTCCTCCAGCTGGGCCACCGACTGCTCGCTCTTCTGCAGCTTCTGCTGCGTGTGGGCCAGCTCATCCCGCAGCCACTGGTTCTCCTGGCACAGGCGGCGCACCTGTGCGCGCAGCTTCTGCTTCTCCGACTCCACGGCGTTCAGGTGGTTGGACAGGGCCATCATCACCTGCAGGCGGCACGGGCTGCGGCAGCGGTCCCAGCCGCCTCCCTCCACCCAGGCCCCGTGCTGCGGCCCGTTCCCCAAGCACGAGGTGCACCGTGCCGTGACTCCCGTGTCCACCTCGGTCACAGGCCACACATGGGACACCACAGGAGTAGCACATGCCCAGGACATCTACAGAAAATAGACGTGTGTTCTGTCTGAGAGCTTCTCCAGTGGACGAGCAACGCACGCACAGCTACTCTTCTGATAGAAATGCATTTGTTACTTTCCATCCAGACAGCTCCAGCGCAATCTCTCACCGCCGTGCCCCGGACGTGACTCTGCGTGTGCCTGCGCACAAGTGTGCAGTGTGGTCACTCCGGGAGCGGGGGGAGGGGAGGGGAGGGCCGGCAGACCTTCCAGGTGCCAAGGGAAGGGAAGGCATCTTTGCCGCTGGCATCACAGGTCAGAGGTGCTGGCGCTCCCATCAGCACAGTCTGTCCTAGCGAGGGGCTGCCCAGGACTGTGCCTGCGGGCCCAGCGCAAGAGAAAGCTGGGAAGTGGCCTCGGTCTGTAGACCTGACCCTGCCCTGCCCTCTTCCTTTCCTCCTCATGTGAGAGCTGAAACTCCAGAAGTGGGCTTTTTCTTCCTTTCTAACCCCAACATCTGCCAAACTAAAAAGGAAGCTCATGTTCATATCACTTTTCAACAACAGAACTGGCAACACAGTAGCTTCGCAGTAACTACACAAGTTCAAGTTCTTTCTCTGGCACGAAGCAGGGTCAGGAGGAGGCCTCCACGAGGGCGAGGGTGGGCACAGGTGTGGAGGGAGGCCTCCACAGCAGCAGTAGCTGGTGAGCTGGCAGCTGCTGCTGCTCCAGTCACACCAACAAGAAGAAAGCTAAGTACCTAATTTTACCTGAAATATGTTGGCAAAGCCAAAAGCTATGGGGCGAGGGACACCGTATGCTCCACGTCTTCTGTCTATGCTGGCACGACAGAAACGAAGGTCTGTCAGATCTACACAACCCTGCCTGGGTGCCGCAGAGGCCATAGCTGCCGGTGGACAGCCACGCTCCCTCCTTCCTGCTCAGAGCCGGGCACTGTAAGGGCAAGATGCACTCCCGTCTCCCCCACGCGGCGTGGCCACGGAGTGCCCTGCAGCAAGGGGGGAGCAGAGCGCTCTGCTCTAGGAAGCAGGAGGCAGCACCCTTCCTGCCCTCCGGGCGCTAGTCCTGCAGCGGAGCTGTCCGAGTCCGGCAGACGGGAGCAGGGAGGCAGGGCCTGGGTCCCTGGTGACGGGGCAGCCGCGGACCCTGGCTGGGACAGCCACCCTGGGGCTTGGTTCACAGCCTCTGAGACGTGAGCCACCGTTTTTGTTTTCTGATGTGTGCAGCCAAATCCAGGCCTAAAGGACACGTGTTGGCCCTGCTTTTTAAAGTTCAGACACACCCCAGTCAACCATCATCTATCTAACGTGCACAACCCTGTTACTCTATGGCAGTGGTTCTCAACCTTCTGGCCCTTTAAATACAGTTCCTCATGTTGTGACCCAACTACAAAATTATTTTCGTTGCTACTTCATAACGGTAATGTTGCTACTGTTATGAATCGTCATGTAAATATCTGATATGCAGGGTGGTCTTAGGCGACCCTTGTGAAAGGGTCATTCAACCGCCAAAGAGGTCGCGACCCACAGGTTGAGAACCGCTGCTCTACAGGGATCTGCATTCTGGTTAGTGAGGCGCCATGGACCCGCCCGCCCAGCTCTCCAGGCCGCAGCCTGGCTTCTACCTGCGCCTCGCTCAGGCCCAGCTCCAGCATCTCCAGCGACTTCCGGATCATGTTGGACTTCTCCTCCACCAGGTTACTCTCATCGTCTTTCTTCAGACACTTCAGTGTCTCGAGTAAACTCTGCAGGATGGAGTTGTGCTCGTTCTTCAGAGCCTCCAGCCCCTGAATCACCTGCTTGGTCTTGGAGATAATCTCGTCCTGCGTGAGCTTCTCCAGCCTGTCTTCCTTCACGTACACCATGGTGGACATGTTGTCATACATTCTGGAAGGGAAAAGACAAAAGTCAGGCACCTCGCCGAGGCCTAACGGGCATCACAGCACACCTCTAAGAAGATGCCTGTGCGAAGGCTGCACGTTAATGTTTTTGCCGGCAAATACCAAGTATGTGGATTTGATTTAATATTCTATGCTGCCTCTATTTTTCCTTTGCAGACCAATTTAATTACTTTCCTGGCTTGTGACTGATTTCTTAATGGAAAGAATGGCAGCAACAGAACGAATGCCAAAGATTACAAGCAACAAAACATCCAAATGGCATTTCCAAAACACACAGCCTCCGTGAACAAAATGTTCTGAGTGTCTGCGAGTCATTTCTCCTGAATGAAATGCAGGAGGGAAGTCAGTCCTCTGGCCTGTTGAGCAGGTGCCCTGGAGACGGTCAGGCTGGAAGAAGGCGCCGGCAGAGGAGCACGGAGCACTGAGAGGAGGGGAAGGACCGAGCAGCGGAGCCCAGGCAGGGTTGAGGCATGAGGTGAGCAGCGCTGTAGACGCAGGAGGCCCTGTGCGTGGCTCAGTTGGCAGGGGCCCAGGTTGTGGGTTCAGCCCCCAATCGGGGTGCATGTGGGAGACAACCAATCAATGTTTCTCTCTCACATCAATGTTTCTCTCTCTCTTCCTTCCTCTCTCTCTAAAATCACTTTTTTAAAATATATTTTATTGATTTTTCACAGAGAGAAAGGGAGAGAGATAGTCAGAAACATCGATGAGAGAGAAACATCGATCAGCTGCCTCCTGCACGCCCCCCACTGGGGATGCGCCCGCAACCCAGGTACATGCCCTTGACCGGAATCGAACCTGGGACCCTTCAGTCCGCAGGCCGACGCTCTATCCAGTGAGCCAAACCGGCTTCGGCAATTTTTTTAAAAACAAAAAAGACGCATGTCGCCTGGGGTAGAGCAGCCCCGGGCACAGGAACGGGTGTGAGATCCGGCAGTGAGTGAAGAAGGGGAGGGGCAGGGCACTGAGACAGTGTCAGCCCAGCGGCCATGCCCCTGCCCTGTGCCCGGGAGCTGCTAGTGGGGAGAAGGAAGCTGCCAGGAGAGGAGAGGGGAGGGACGAGCTGAGGTCGGATGCCCGTGGGGTGGCTTCCTCAGAACCCCGGCACCTGAGCCGCAGGTTCCCGTCCAGTCTCCCCGCCGAGACTCAAGCTCTACTGCAGGCGGCTCCGCGGTTAGTCATCCTGATAGGCCAAGGCTGCGGACTCGACCCTGTCAGGGCACATCCACGGTCACCAAGGACTGCACGGATGGGGAAATGCGTCCATGTTTCTCTCCTTTCCTCCTCCCTCTCTCTCTCTCTCAAATCAGTCATTTTTTTAAAAGACAGGGCCGTTTGGGACGCCTTTACTGAGCTCACGCTCTCCAGGGCACTGCTGGCTCTAGGAGAGCAGGGCCTCGTGTGTCTGTCCTGTGCGACCCTCTCAGAAGGTCACAGTCACTGCTAAGTGCACACGCGCCGGCCGACTGAGGCCCAGCGTCCAGTGAACAGGACTCAATGGATCCCCAAAGGAAGGAGGAAACGAAACAGGCACCTCCCCAGCTCTGGCAGCGAACTTCTCAGCACAATTTCCAAGTGATGCACCTTCAGTCTTCCTTTCCCAAACTCGCAGAACAGGGCTTACTAGGTGTGCCCTGACCAGGGCGGCCTCAGGGACATGGGGGCACAGAAGGCAGCTGATACCACACACACCGAGAGCTAAATGCACAGTGACAGGCCTCCTGGTGGAGCATGGGGTGGGGGGAGTGGGGGGGGGCAGCGGACACACCCACTGCAGAGGGGATGGATGCCAACCGTATCCAATTCAAGGGCACTGCCAACCGAGGGGACGACAGGGGCCGAGGGGGAGGTGGAAAGCGCCCACATCTGGAGAGGGGTGAGCTGGCACAGGACAGGACTAGAGGAGGAGGGGAGAGAGGTCCCAGGGCACCTGCCCTCTGGGGTGAGGGTGGAGGGCGGCCATGCTCAGGAAGGTCAGGTGCCACGGCACAGAACCATCCATCAGAGACACAGGCACCTCCTCCAGGCTCAGCCAGTGAGGCCCTTCCTCCCCTGAGGAGGCCCACACCCAGCCATCTTTCCAATGAGGCAAACCCAGGAAATGGGCAGGGCGGCTTCGGTCCGGAAAAGAAAAGCTCGCGACGTGAACGGGCAGAAGGTACACCTTCGTCAGAGTGAATCCTGCCAGCTGTAAAGACGGCCAGTGCACCCTCAGAGGGTTACGTGGCGGCTGAGAAGAAGGGGAGGGGGCAGTTCTGTTTATGGAAGAGAGAAGGAAGGGGGCGGAGGGTTTAAGTAGCAAAGGAAAACCATAAAAGGCGCACTCGTATGCAGAAGGAAAAGTGGAAGGAAAACGAGAAAGACGATCGCTGGCAGGCATGCCTCATCAGGCAGGTGAATTCCGAGACACCCACTGCAGGTCCTGACGGCTGGCCAGGCTGGGACCTGAGAGGAGACCAGTCACACAGAAATGTTACCAGACGCGCGCACCCAAAGTAAGAGCCGCTGAAGGCAGCTTTCTGTTACCTTCCCCTTAAAGGAAAAGTAACTGGAACCCAGCCACGAGGGAGGGGACACTCCATGTCGTGAGAATGAGGTGGCAGGTGCTGTGCGGGCTCGGGACCCGAGTGAGCCGGTGCAGAGCCCAGCACCACCATCAGCCATGGAGCGGGGAGACCTCCTGGGGTCTCGGTGGCTAGCACACCTCCTCCCCGGCTGACGGGAGCATGGAGACCAGAGGGGAGCGCTCAGCAGTCACTCAGCGGTCAGTCAGCACAGCCTCCAGCCAGGAGCTAAGCAATCTGGAACCGTCCTGATAACGACTGCTCAAGGTCTGCAGACATACTTCCTGTAACACAGGACTCACTACTTTCCAAGACAACTAGTTCAATGTTTCTCTCTCCCCCGATCCCTCTCTCTCTAAAAATCAATAAGAACATATCCTCAGGTGAGGATTTAAAAAACTATTCTAAAATAAAAAGTATTTTTTAAATCTACACACAAAGTACATAAAAAAGCACATGTATAACCGGTAAAACACAGAACCAGAGCCAGACCAGTGTGGATCAGCGGTTAGAGCACTGACCGGAGCACAAAGGGCTGTGGTTCAATCCCAGTCAAGGGCAGGCACCTGGGTTGGAGGCTGGCTCCCTGGCCGCATCGGGCACGTGTGGGAGACAACCAAACGATTCTCTCTCCCCGCCTCTAAAATCAATGGAAAAAATAGCCTCAGGTGAGGCTTAACGAAAGCGAACACAGAAACCAGACAGTATACATGCATTATGTTAAGAATTCACATCACTTCCATGTAAAGGGTGTCCCAAAATTCACGCAAGAAGTAATTTTGATAGAAAACACAGGTTTGTAATTTAAAAATTGTAAATTTTTTGATTCATAAAGTATACAGTATAGGATTGTGTATGGAATAGCATATCGGGTAAACGGCCTCCACGGCTTTGCTGGCACATACGCACTCTTTTGTTGAAATTTTCCATGACCGTTTTGCATAAATGTGGCTGAATTTCGATAAGGCTCATTTTCATCTTGATGGCTTGGTTAATTGACAAAATTGTCGAATTCGGGGCTCAGAAAATCCACGAGTGATTGTTGAGAAACAAATGCATCTGCAACATGTCACTGTTTGGTGCGGATTTGGGGCTGGAGGCATCATGGGACCATTCTTCTTCGAAAATGAGGCTGCTCACAATAAAAGTTAATGGTGCTTGCTATCGCGACATGATAATCTGCATACTTTATGAACCAATAAAAAAATTACAATTTTTAATTATAAACCTGTGTTTTCTATCAAAGTCACTTCTTGCGTGAATTTTGGGACGCCCTTTACATGGTGTTATAAGAATACAGCGTCTGCGGCGGTGAGTCAGCTCCCACTGTAACCATGAGGCAGAGCTGACAGTGGGGGCTCGGGCAGAAGAGGAACAGAATCTACGCTCTCGCCGCCCTGCTGGTGCGTCTGGCAGTGACCACACTGAGCCCGTGCGCACGGGCACACACGCCTGTGCCTCTCAGAGCTCACCAACCAGAAAACAATAACACCTAAGCGGGCTGTCGGAGGGCAGGCAGCAGAACCTCTTCCACCCTCACAGACAGGACGATCTGCCGCCTCCACACAGTAATGACAGACCAACCTGACGCCGAGAGGAGACCAGGAACGCTGCACACGCGGAACACGGACCGGCGAATCTTAGAGCAGAACCGCCAGGCTCTCGGGCCCGGCCCGCCTTAGACGCCTCTGGGTCACCAAGACTGAATTTCCATTTCACGGGTTACCGTGTCACTGCCATGGGATGATCTCGCGGCCCATCTCCGCACCTGATAGCGTGTAAGCACGCCCTCACACAATCACACACTCTACTAATTAGCAGGCGAGACGATCTCCCACCATCTGACAAATCTTTTTTTTTTAATATATTTTATTGATTTTTTACAGAGAGGAAGGGAGAGAGATAGAGAGTCAGAAACATCGATGAGAAACATCGACCAGCTGCCTCCTGCACATCTCCCACTGGAGATGCGCCCGCAACCCAGGTACATGCCCTTGAACGGAATCGAACCTGAGACCCCTCAGTCCACAGGCCGACGCTCTATCCACTGAGCCACAGTTTCGGCCATCTGACAAATCTTTTTTTTTTTTTTAATATATTTTATTGATTTTTCACAGAGAGGAAGGGAGAGAGATAGAGAGTTAGAAACATCGATGAGAGAGATACATCGATCAGCTGCCTCCTGCACATCTCCTACTGGGGATGTGCCCGCAACCCAGGTACATGTCCTCGACCGGAATCGAACCTGGGACCTTTCAGTCCGCAGGCCGACGCTCTATCCACTGAGCCAAACCAGTTTCGGCCTGACAAATCTTATTTACCACCACCGTCCCCCTCTCCAAAAGTAACAAAAAGAGAGCAAAGGCCAGCAAAGGCAAGAGCATCACCCGGGCCACTTCATCGTGCTGTATGACTTATAGATCAACTTCTTTATTTTACTGATTTCTAAAGAGAGACAGAGGAAGGGAGCAGAGAGGGGAGGGCGATTTGGTGTTCCCCTTATTTATGCATCATTGGTTGATTCTTGTATGTGCCCTGACCAGGGATCAAACCTGCACCCTTGGCACATCAGGACGACGCACTAACCACTGAGCAACCTGGCCAGGGCCCTTACGTATCAATTTTTCAAGAAAGGAATGTGGATGCACAGAGAGAGGACAGCCGAGAAGGACACGTGCTCTTCTGGCTGCTCTTGACCAGGACACGTACCTCCTGCAGACACAGCAAAGGGAAGCAGAGAGAAAGAAAGCAAGACGGCCCACGGCGTCTGAGATGCTTTTCCGAGAGACACCGAGCTGCACAGTGGGAAGAAGCCCTGCAGCCAGCGGCCCAGCCTCCTCTACACACCGCCACAGGCCCTGGGAGCACTGGGCGAGCACTCCTGCCCCAGCCTAGTCTCCCGCCTGCAGAAAACACCCAAGTTCATTCAGGAAGTGAGCACTCAGGCCACGGTCTGCATGACACCTGATGCCAAAGGTGACTGATGGGTGAGGAGGTAGGTGGGCCTTCGGGAGGTCATGAGCGGAGCCCTCAGGAATGGGATTGGCGCTCTGTTTTATATGTATATATTTAAAATTGATATCAGAGAGGAAGGGAGAGGAAGAGAGAGATAGGAACATCAATCATGAAAGAGAATCATCGATCACCTGCCTCCTACAGGCCCCCCTCTAGGGACCGAGCCTACAACCTGGGCATATGCCCTTGACTGGAATCGAACCCAGAACCCTACCGTCTGCAGGCCTACACTCTATCCACTGAGCCAAACCAGCTAGGGTGGAATTGGTACTCTTTTAATAAAAGGCCCCATAGACTTTCCTCCCCCTCCGCCACATGAGGACACAGCAAGAAGATGGTGTCAGCCCTAACTGGTTTGGCTCGGTGGATAGAGCGTCGGCCTGCAGACTGAAAGGTCCGAGGTTCGATTCCGGTCAAGGGCATGTACCTTGGTTGTGGGCACATCCCCAGTGGGAGATGTGCGGGAGGCAGCTGATTGATGTTTCTCTCTCATCGATGTTTCTAACTCTCTGTCCCTCTCCCTTCCTCTCTGTAAACAATCAATAAAATAAAATAAAAAGTAGAAGATGGTGTCTATGAGCCAAAGCAGATCCCCACCAGACACTGACTCTGCCAGCACCATCATCTTGGACTTCCCAGCCTCCACCACTGTGAGAACTAAATGTCGGATGGTATTTTGCTACAGCAGCCCAGGTAGACTAAGACATTCTGTATCGTGGAACCCAAGATTACAGAGTGTGTTGTGGATTAAATGATACAACTGTCAAAGGTTGGAAAATCAGATGAAAGAGCCACCAATTCCACCCTGGTACACACCCACGAATAATGGAAACATGCTTACGTCAGCATTTGCCAACAAATGCTCCAAAACTAAAACAGGGCCGGTGTGAACCCTGCACACCAGTGTTTTGGCATCATTCGTAATAACCGAAGTGTGAAACCACCCAAACGTCCATCAGCCGGTGAATGGACGGATAACAAAACGGGGCGCAGCCACACAGTGGAACAGGTGGGTATAAAAAGGAACTAAATGCTGGTCCACACTACAGCACGGACAACGCTGCGCCCCTAAACAAAGCCAGACCGAGGCACACAGCGCTGACTCCACTGACATGAGGGTCCACAGAATCAGAAAGTAGATGAGTGGTGGCCACGGCGGGCGGGAGAGGGGACGGGTACAGTTTTCTTACCAGGCTGATGAAATGTCGGGAACTAGACAGTTGTACAGCCCTGTACATTTTGTCATATGTGAACCATATCTCGGTAAAATATATCCAGAATTTTTAAAAATATATTTGTATTGATTTCAGAGAGAAGGGAGAGAGAGATACAAACATCAATGATGACAGAGAATCACTGATCGGCTGCCTCCTGCACGCCCCACACTGAGGACCGAGCCCACCACCCGGGCCTGTACCCTTGACTGGAATCAAACCCGGGACCCTTCAGTCCGCAGGCTGACGCTCTATCCACTGAGCCACACCAGCCAGGGCATATGCCCAGATTTTAAATTAAATGATACAAATAAAGGAAAACAAAGCACACAGCCCCACTTTGGGATCTCGTCTATGTTAGCCCCGCCAGGAGTCCCAGGATGCTCACTCGCGTCTCTTAGCCGCGCTCTCCCTGAGAAACAGGAATCTCAAGCCTCTCCAATGGACTTGGAATTTTCCAAATACTTAACCTTTTGTGACTACTAGGTGTACCAGTTAATAATGCGGATTTTTTTCAATAGATGGAGTTACACATATGTTGATGTATATGCGATTTGATATGTATGCTATTTTGTTGTATTGACAGCAAGCTTCAAAACTTCATATGTCAAATTTGCTGAAGGTGTTAACATCATAGATATTTTTACGCTTAAAAATGTCGAGCCCTAACTGGTTTGGCTCAGTGGATAGAGCGTAGGCCTGCGAACTGAAAGGTCCCAGATGCCATTCCGGTCAAGGGCATGTACCTTGGTTGCGGGCACATCCCCAGTAGGAGATGTGTAGCTGATCGAAGTTTCTCTCTCATCAATGTTTCTAACTCTCTATCCCTCTCCCTTCCCCTCTGAAAAATACCAATAAAAATTTTTTTAATAAAAATATGTCAAATTTCAAAAAAAGAGCCAAAAGTGCTAAAAAAGAGCATTTGAGGGAAGTTTTAATTCATTAGTTTATTTTGAAGAACAAGTTATCGTATACTTCGGGAAGCTTATGGTGAACATGCTCCATCTCAAGATACTTGTGAACGCTGGTTTAAATGTTTTAAAAGTGATGATTTCTATGTGAAAGACAAAGAACGTCCAGGTCAACCGAAAAAGTTTGAAGTCCAACAA